TATAAGAAATTCCCTCTTGAATCCTAAAGTTAAAATAGGTTTAAGAGTAATGACCACAATAATAGCAGCTATTGGAGTAACAATAATGGCCCTGGAAACGGAAGACCATTCCTTTGTCATTTCCTCTTTCTGGTTCTTAGTCACTTGATGAGGCACTGAGTTTAAGGGCCCTTTCAACTTTTATCTATTTAGAAGACACTTAACATAGTTTTCATTGTCAATTTGTATTTAAAATTTAAGTTTCTCATTTCCTCTTAATAATGGGTTATTAAGAAAAATATCTACTTGACTTCCTTTCCCTTCATTAGTTAGCACAGAAGAGCCCAGACTGGAGCAAAACTATTTGGTTAGAATCTTGGCCCAGTCAGTATCCTAACAGCCGTGTGATATTGGTCAAGTGATTTGAACTCTCTGAGCCTCAAGTATATCTGGAAAATAAAAATAATACCTATGCCATTAGACTAATATGAAGGTTAAAAAGGATTGATATTTGTAAAAGACTTTGAACAATGCCTAATATGCAGAAAATGTTTTGTGAAGTATTTTAAAATACATTATTTTGAAATTTTAAATAACTTTCATTATATGTATAAAATAAATACTTTTGCTTGCATCTTAAACATATACTCATCTTTTTGTTTGTAATATTTTTAGCCACCTTTCCATTTAAAAACAAAGGGCTTCCTAATGCCTAATTAAACTTAGAGATCTTGCCACATCTTGGTATAATAAGACCTGCTCCAAAGCATATACAAAACACTAAGTAAATTGCACATTGTATTACTGTATTATCTTTCCACCTGAAAAGCATCTCTTTCTGTCCTTTGGTGCAAAATCTAGACTATCCTTTCACTACTCATGGGTTAGGCTAATGCAATCCCAGTCTGTAGACAGAGCTCTCCAAGTGGCCCATGTGAGAACCTGGCCTGGCTCTTCATTGTGACCAACAGCCAACGAGCTCATTACTGGCCTTTGTCCTGATTTTACCACCATGACTCACACAGTTAACAGTGTAAATGTGGAATTCTTTTATAGGAATTTCCTTATTACAAAAATCTGCTCACTTTAACACAAACCACCATTTCAATCACAGGAGATTTTTTTTCCTTCTCAAAGGTGATCACAAAGAAATATGGAAAATAAATCTTTCTCTTACTGCTTCAAACTACAACAGTTTAACTCTTTTTTCCTGCTGAGCATAATAAAGTAATTTTTTTAAAAATTGGAAGTGAGATTTTTCCCTTGCATCACAATGTAAGGACGATTTGATTGATTCCAAGAAGATGAATAAAACTATGATCATAATGGTTGAATTGAGAAAGAAAAAATGTATTATACAAAGACCAGAAAACAAAGTGGGAGAGAAAGGTCTGTAATGACTTGGCTGCTAAAGGACATTTATATGCTCATGCCAGCACTAAGTGCTCTTCCCAATGAATAAACCATATGTCCAATTTTATATGCTTCCTTTCACTGAGATCCTGCTACTTCCACAATATTCCCTTTGTCCCAATCCCTGCCTCATCTTCTATCCTCAGTCTGGTTTCCCCATCCCTAACTTCACTTCTGTGGGCAACCAGTATTTTTGCCCTAGCTACCAACTTGAGCATCTGCTACCTTAAAAAATATATATCACCTCATTGCCTAACATCCTCCAGGGCAGAAAATGTGAAGGCTTCAGCATCCTCAAAAATCAGATACAGAAGGGAGGGGGGAGCAGGAGGGAGGAAAGCACATCTTTTCATCTCAGTAAATTCTATCTATATAAAGATTAAAAGAATAACACTTTAAAAATTCTTCACTGCAAGCAAATTCACATTATCAACAATGTATTGTCTTTCCTATGCATAGTGGGAACACATTTTATTTTATTGCATTTTGCAACCGTATCTCCTTTTCCACATATTACCATATAGAAAAGATGTAGAACATATATAACTTTAGAGAACAAAATGCCAATATTTCCCCCTTTCTCCTGATGGTTTTATCATTTTTTTTTTCTGTCCCGAAACACTCCTCCCACTGAGAGATAAGGAAATAATTTTACTGAATTAAAGCGAGCCCTGTATTAAAACAGCCTGCCCAAATCCAACTGAGCTTGTTTTTTCAAACTTCATTTCAACATTTGATCAGCAGCTCTCCCCACACCACTCACATATCAGCAGTTTTTTCTCCAACATGAATTCCCACTGCCATATACCTTTGCCCTCAAGCTTTTACTGGACCATTTCCTTTATATGTTTGCACTTAATTTGATTCCATCCTTCATGCTTTTTTCATTATTCTTAGTTCATCCACACCACATAAATTATCACCTTTGTTTTCAATTCCCCATGTGCCCCATTCGCACCAATTCCAAATAAATACTTCTGATTCTCATCCATTTAATCCAAATTAATTCATAGTCCCTCTCCCCATCCTTTAGCCCCACATCTACCTCCCCTCTTGTCTCTTTCTTTAGCATCTAGCTTTCCTTCTGGCTTGTCTCTGAGGAAGGTTTGACAGGCAAAATGCTTCCAGTGGACCAAGGTGATTGCTTCTCGTGTTGTCTTAGGAAAGTCATGTCCTACATCACTGCCAACTTCATGGGCCAGTTTCACTCTCCGCAACTGGTGCCATGATCATGACTCCCCCCACACTGGAAGTGTGGGGGTGAGAAAAGAACAATTCTTGCTTTGGGGTAGTATTTAATTTTGACGATCTGGCTTATTTCTAGTTTACATAAGGCTTGTTTTTTACATGCAACCATCACTAATTAATATCAACAGCAATAGTAATAACCACAACTAACACCACTGCTCTCTTTAATGAGCTCTTGTGATCTGCCAATTATTTTACACATATTTACTCAATCTCCTCCCCCCCCAAAAAAAAATGCAGGATGTAGACACAATAATTTTACAGATGCAGAAACTGAGACTCAGAAAACATAAGTAACTGATCCAGGTCATAAAAATCCAGGAAGTGGCAGAGCAAGAAGTCAAACCCAAGTCCACAAAGTTCTGTTCTTAACCACTCTGCAGTATTGCCTTTCTAGCAATGTCTGATACTTCCTTGAGTAAGTTTCCTAGGGGACGATCTTTCCGCTTGGTCTACCATAAGGGAAGTGGTTGCAGGTGCTGGAAAACATGAGCTCCACCTTGCTAATCACCCTCAGCAGACAATGCCCAGAGAACAATACATCAAATAACACATCACTTCCAAAGAGTTCTTCTGACATTGTTGTTGGGAAGAAGGGATAGGAAAAAGAAGAAAATGCTCTGGACTCCAACTCCAACATCCCCAGAGTTATCCAGCCTTCACAGTAGGCAGAATATATCCTATCTCAGTGTCAATAATTCAGAAATAAGTCCATAATCATGAATCCTATACTCCCAACAAAGCTCAACATTCTTGTCTCATCCTGCTCTCGCTGGTTTCCTGGGGAGAACAGGAGATGAGTCAGACTGAAGCCTGGGAACACTGCAATGTCTCGTCATGACTCTATTCATTGACTTTATAAAGAAAAATAAACAGAAATGACCTCCAGGACAGTAACTGTGAGCAGAAGACCTGACAACAGAAGGAAGCATTAGCCTTGGACTATGTGGAGTGGGGAACCAACACTCAAATCTGAGAGGAAACCACAGCAAGGACCTGAGCCCGGGGGCTTCAAAAATTATGTTTGGTTCCCCACAACCAAACAAAAGCCACATGGGAAATTAAGCTTAAAATTAGAGGACTACATGCCCAAATCTTGTGCTGTAAGGAAGCCGTAAGTTTACCCTCCCGTGGGAATAACTTTGATGTTCAAAATGGTGATTTCTTCTAGTTACATATGAAGCATCCTGTTTCAAGAAAGTTCTTCTGGGGGCCTCCGTGGTGGTGCTGGGGCTAAAGACAGCACTATCAAACTATCGCCAACCACTGCAGCATGAGTTCGATCCCCAGCTGGCCAGGGAGCAACCTACATGGCGCAGCAGACCTCTCTCTTGCCTCGCCCACTGCTCCCCTCAGTAGTGTATTTCAGCAGATCTGTCTGTTCTGCTCCCCACTCTGTCTCCGGTGAATCCTCTCACTCACTGCACCTCTGGCTTATACCCCAGTTCTTGTATGTATAAATAAATCTTTAAAAAAACAAAAGGAAAATTCTTCTGTAATGCAACAAAGACATTTTACAGGTAACCCACTCCCCGAGAACATCAGCGTGGAAAGGGAACTAAAAACCACATTGTCTGGCAGTTGTGGAAAGGGAGGCCCAGTGTCGGGAAAGGACTCTGCTCCTAGTCACAAAGCCAGTGAGCGGCAGAGTTAAACCAGAACCCAGGTTTTCCTAATTTTTCAGTCAATGAACTTTGCAGTGCAACTTCCCTGGGTGGCACAGCCCACGAGCCACTCCCGAGCATGAGGAAGGTACTGGACTCTCACCAGACACCACTTCCCAGCTCAGATCCAACCACCCATTTCCATCACTCTCATTCTGAGTGCTTCCCTACCCAGCGTGCAAGCAGCACACGAGACCCACACAGGCCGGGCTCATCTGCAAACCACCGACAGTGGTGATTGCGACTAGGATGCGACCACCAAGAAGAGACTCCCTATTCTCAAGCTTCCACCTCAAAGCAGAGAACAAAGATCAGTTTCTAAGAAAAAGCCAAACCCGTTCTTCTCTCTGTAAACCTCACTCTTCCAAATTATCCCACTGCACCAGAGATCAATATGATTCCTGGGAGTCACCACAAAAGTCCCGAGTAAAATATACAATCCCCGTCAGTCCCCACCCGCCCTTACCACACACATAGCAATGTAATCACTTTAGCAACTTCTCAGTAACAAGCTCATTAAAAAGCAATTCTGCCATCTCTCCATAAAGCACGCGCCAGAGAACAATGCAAAAGAGGAGATGCCAATTAATTATAGAATGATCACATCTAATGAACTCTGAAACCCTCCTGCTGTTGGTGACTTTGATGAAAAATCAGGGATGCTGGGAAAATAGTGAATAGGGACACTCCAGCTACCTTGTTTAACTGTGAATTCTTTCTAATGTACCTGCTCAGGTGCCAGAGATGATCAAAACTGCAGAACTACACTCAATGGCAGGTGTCAGGGAAGTGACAAGTGCATGCATCACAGAGGCTGTGAGTCACCCTGTCAGCGCCCCATTCAGTCATCTTCAGAACGGCTGAGTCTACCCTGTGGTTGGCTTTGCCTCTGGAAGTATCTCACAGCCACCTGGTCACAGACCCATGTTCTGTGCTTGGGAAACCTGGAGCTCTTAAGGTAACAAGTGAGTCACTCTGCCACCCCGTTCAGGCCTCCCTGCCTCTCTATCACCTCCTAGTCAGCACGGAAGCCACTTCTGGGAACAGAGGGAAGCCCTTCCCACCGCGAGGCTAAAGAAGCAAAAGAAGAAACCACGTGCGGCCAACTTGTACCACTACCTGTGTGAGTCCTCTGGTGGGCCTTTAAGTGGGAGCTTTTTGTATAAACTTTCCGGCACCCGTTAAACTGACAGCGGTGAACCCTCTTCTTGTTTTCAGGGCAGGCCTCAGCCCCTAGCCCTCCTTGTTCACTGTCGCTCTGTCCACTCTTAACAGTCCCAGCTGCCGCCACGGCTGCTGCTGCTGTTGCCACCCCTCCCACCTTTACTGAGCTGAGTGCAGCCTTCTTGGCCACCAGTTTCAACGTCACCGTGCCATCCACGGCTGAGAGAGTCTGTGAGGTTTTGACCAGATGGCGGCTGAGCTCTGGGGATGATGGGGGCGTTAATGAGGTCACTGCGTTGAGCTGGGCCTGGTTGACGGCTGTGTAGCTGTCTAGAGAAGAGCTGGTTGGCTGGAGGCTGAGGCAGGTCTCAGAGAGCAACTTGTCCCGAGAGAGCAAAATGTCCACTGCTGAGTTCTTCTCGCAGATGGCCGCTTCCACAGGGAGCAGCAGGGGATCTAAGCGCCGGAAGCTTTCCTCAATGCACGGGGGAGGAGAAGCATGGAGGAAGCAGTCCAAGTCCTCACCAAAGGTCTCCGAGATCCTCCTGGGCTCTGTCTGTAGGTAGCGTTCCAATTCAAGGCATGTCTGCAGAGGAGAAGGAGGGAGGGAGAGAAACAGCCATCAGAGGCAAAGAACACCAGGAAGCCAATGGTGACAGGCAGAGGAGAAGACACAAGAAGCAACAGGGAATGGTTTCATGGCTAAAATTTCTCAACTGAAATTCTCTTGTTGAAAGGTCTGACCTTGTTATTTCCTCCCTGAATACTTCTGAGGGGACCATAAAGGTTACATCCTAGGAGTTCAGCTACTGAAGTTGAAGGGGAACTAGAAGCCCAGAAGGAAGATCTCACACCATCAAGATCCTAGACAACACTCAATGTTAAAATAATTTTCCTGCACTTGGTGAGATGCTCCGAGCATCCCTACGAGTTCCCATTTAAGCAAGGAACAAATAGAACCAGACAAGGCTGGCAAACCAAGACTGCCCATATCTAACTTCATTTTTCAAATAGACTTGAGGAAGTCACAAAATAAGTCAACTTTGTAACACGTTCTGAAGAACTAGCCACATCCATCCAAACTAAAAGGGGACCTCAACCACAATCAAGCAACAGCAAGCCCTTCCTTGGGCATGGATTTCTTAACTACCAGGAATAGATACTGTTCTAAAGAATGCCTCTTACAAAACCTTGGATGCATTAGAGAAAACCCCTGTTGTTTACAGCAAGTTATGCAAAATTCAATTGCTACATCTTTTGAAGCGAGGAGGGTGAGCCCCATGACAGTGGTTTAGCACTTTGACCACATGATAAAAATCAATTCAAACACAGCTATTTAACTTGTTAAAGATAGAATCCAGTCTATTTCAATGTAAAGTTTTCACCTCATAAAGAAATAAAGAAAAAGAATGGAAAATTACAGCGTTTTCAACAAAAATTCATCTAAGTTGCTCCTAAGTCTCTGAAAGAGGGTTGAAGTACTTTTTGGACAAAAGTGGATATTTAGGTTTGCATTCTAAAAGCTCTCCCTACTTGAAAAATCCTACTTTTCCAGAATCTTGTATAAATCCATGTTACCAACTTGCATCAACAACAGTTCAATTTGCTGTAACTTCTGGCCTTCAAAAAAGAAATGGATGGAAGATTTAACATGTTGAGTAGTGCCTAATTTACTACCTCCACAGAGCTTCTATGTTTCAGTCTATGTTCTGATTCTAGGCTTTTATTCTGTTAAGAATCTATTTTAATGATATACTTAGTCGTGTTATATCTGTCAAGGATATTATTTTGGTGACATTCTAAAAGAATGGTTTTTTAATCAGCCTTCTGGTGAAACTCTGCATTACTGAATAAGAAAACCAGATTTTTAACTATGAATAACCTTTGGATCTTGCTGTTGATTTTTAACAGCATAAACTAATGAATGCTTCCAATCTTCATTCAACACTCATGTCACAAGTGTTCATTCAACTACTGTGTTCACAGCAAGGTGCAAAGCTTTCTTTGTGTTAGAAAGGAAGACACAGTAATAGATCCCTGTGATGTAGGTGCAGAATAAACAAATGCAAGCTAAAAAATGACATGAATTTATAAAGCAATGTGATATCAAATAAATAACACTACACAAAGTGTGTTGACAGGGAATGAGTGGACAGGAATTATATACTCTATAATATCAAGGCACTAATCAAAGAAAACTTATTGGAAAAATAAGTCTTGATTCTATTTTACTAGCTGATTAAATAATAGCCTGGCTTAGTAGCTTACTACCTCTTTATATTAGAAACCCAATCTACCATCTTTTCAGATCTAGAAATTTGCATTAGCCACACTTATCCTTTTTTTTTAATTCTGCCTCAAAAATATCTCTTATTTCCCCCATATCATTGTTATAAATTACACTTATTTCTCACCAATATGGAAATCTTCAGTTTTATCACCAGTCAATTCATTTTTGAGTTATAAGCTCTTACCCCTGAAACCTCTCTTAAACCTCCCCTTCTCTTTTTAAACCATTACATACCAAGTACAGTGCCTGGACCCAACAGGTACATAATGTCTATCAAACAAAGATAAGACTTTGACCATTCTATCTACTCCAATCTTCAAAAGTTATCTGCTGATACCCTGTCCTGGACCACCCAGAAGCCTGCAACCTTAGAAACTACCATGAATACATGCCTTCAGAAATAGGAGCACAAAGCTTTTTCCAAAGGGCAGAAGCAGATCTTTGAGACACATCTGCTCTAGGTAAAAGTCAGCTGAGACATGGGTTATAAGATATCCTTGGGCAGATCCTGGACTTAAACACAAAGACTATTTCATACATCCAGCCATCGCTGTCAATAGACAGAGCTTGTAAATGCCTTGTCATCTGACATATTTTCTAGCTTGAAGATCTGAAAGTGACTAAGCTAACATCTCTTCAGATTCAGAAATCTGAGGAACCTATCATCAGTATATACCCATAAATTGTAAAACATACATATATACAGGGGTAATAGAGGAATAAATGAATATATACAATTATGAGTCTATATACATATATTTCCTGCCTATGGAGAGAGTCTGCCAGCAAAGACACAAAGGAGAAGAGATCATGGTTTCTAAATATCATTATCCAGTAAAGGGGACCAAAACTCCTTGGCTAAAAAATTGATTCAAGAGCTGGAACAAAGGACATAAAAGACGAACCTAGAATATTTTGTGTTATCGGAAGGCGGAAGCACTCATAAAGTGTGGTGGTATGTCAGAAAGACTCTGTGGCCCATCTGAAGGTGCTCTCAATGGACAAACTTGGATAATTTGAGCAACAAAAATGAATAATGACAATAATGCTACTAACTCATGGAATAAAATTAATATCGCTGAATCCCTAATAACATAAATAAATGTTTGAGGAAACAAACAAATGAAGGAGAAACATCAACTCCACTGTACAATAAATTTACCATTAATAAAGGTAGAAGGAATGATGGAAATAGAAAATTTCCATTTGGCAAGCACAAAGAAATAATGACTACAGGTTACATGACCAATGAATACTAAATATAGATGAAAGTATAATGAAAAACAAGCTTTTTGCATAGTCTCAAAGTAGCTCCCCAATAAGCTTTTGGTTAATTACAAAGACAAAAATAATAAATTTACAGTGGCAAAATATGGCAGGCACAGCCTTAACACAGGCTCAAAGTTAGCAGCACAGTATAAGACATGGTATCGTGGGACCCTGGTATAAGTCAAAAAGTCACATTATTCAGCACCATTCCTGCCAAAAATACATAACCTCCATCTAATCATGATAAAATATCAAGCCAATTCAAACTGAGGGCCAGTCTACAAAATAATTAGTGAGTATTCTTTTAAAATGTCAAGGTCATAAACAAGAAAGATTGAAAAGCTGTCACAGCCCTCAGGTTGGAGGACTCTAAGGAGAAATGACAACTAAATGCAATAGAACCTGGCCTGGCTCCTGCATGAGCAAAAGACATTGGTGGGGAAAATGATGCAATTCAAATAAAGCATATAGATTAGTTAATGTAATATTATATCAATGTTAATTTCCTGGTTCTGATCATGGTACAATGGTTATGTAACATTAGGGGAAGCTGGACAAAGTGTGTACAGGAACTACATGTACTATTTTTGCAACTTTTCTGTAAGTCTAAATAATTTAGAAACAAAACAGAAAAGAAAGAAATACCCATCAGCAAACTCGGAGTGCCTCCAGATTGTAAATGTGTCTATAGAGGTCAAATATTTGCCCATCTACACAAGAGATTCACACTGTTGCAAAGACACTAGCTTGCAAACTCCAAATCATAGCTGATAGATGACAATTAATGACATGCCTGTCTGGTACTTCACCTTGGAGATATGAGGCTTCCCTCAGCTTGACCTAACAATACAACTTAAGACTTGAACCAGTAAATCAACCTCCACTCCTCAAAAATCCCCTAAAGTTAGCCATGGGAAAGAAATGTGCCCAAATGTAGGGTGATTTTCGTATTTATTTATGAGTCACAAATGAGCTTTGTGAAGACCCTCTGGTATTTCAGCTTTGAAATGTATGGCTTCCTCTTCTAGTTGCCTAAGAAATATTACCCAAAAAATGGTTTTGAAATGATCATCCTGAAATCTTTTTTAAAACTGTTTTTGTTCACAGATATAACTTGTTGACACCTGCTTATTAAAATTGAGAATGTTAAGACTTAGCAAAACAAAAAATTAAAACCTATTATTGGCAAGCCTACCACTTTTATGATAGGCTCCAAAGGCAGAACTTGACAGAGGACATGATAACCTAGGTCTTGCAGCATAAATTAAGTTTAACAAAATCTCCCCACCTCTGACAAAGAGATAATTGCTTTCATGGGATCTAAACATGTAAGAAATTTGGTCACATATGGACATGATGATGCCAAGGTTACCAAATAGCTTTTGTGCAACCTCTCCTTATAGCATCAAAAAAAAACCCCATAAAATTTGCCCATCAGGATTAAAAATATCCCCAGTCATTTTTTCCATCCCCCCACAATCCTGCCCTAAACAGTTTTCTCATATTTTCTTTTACTTTTCCTCATGCTTGACACAAGCTTTTATCTTCCCTCCCACTAATCATTCTTTCCTTCAAAGTTCAACACAATGTCTATCTCTTTCAAAAAGCCTGGTTTAGAAAAAAATGGAGTTAAGAAAATATACTGATTGCCAAGTGTTGAAAGACACCCTCCTCCATTTTGGGCAATTAAATAGTATCTCCACAACAAATCTAAGCACCCACAGGCCGGTGGTATATCTGGTTTATTAAGATTATGATCTTCTTAAAAGCAATGATTATATTCTTTATACCACATGAGTTCTCAAACAATAAGAAAATCACTTAGGACTAAACTTCGACCTCCGTTATCTCAGATGGAAGAGATGTGAAGTGTTTGAAGTGGTGCAGAGTTATAAGAGTTAGAACTTTCTGAAAGAATAAGCTGGAATCACTTCACAATCATCCATCATCACCTCTATAACTACAGTCATGTGCCACTGTGGCAGATTTTAATCCCAGGTCCTCAGAGCCATCCCTTTACAAGCCAA